AGAATTGTTAATAAATATTAATCTGAAAATTAAATACAAATGATCCTAAGTGTCCGTTCTAGTGAGTGAAGTAGTTTGGTTATTGTGCCTGACCTAGTTCCGTCGTAAATCCAATATATTGGCAGACTAACAGTATGGTTAAAATTGAGGTACTTTGGCATTTATTTAAATTATTCTTCTGTTCTCATGAGCATTGAAATTTATTTCACTCACTAGCGGGAACCATTGCGAATACATTGATATATAATAATATTCAATTATGTTAGTTTCTTCGACGATTTGTGTCCTCATCTGAAGCTCTGTTACATGGTAAAAATATACATACTAAATCGCCCCCTTAAAAACAACTAGCGACCCTGATTTACTCCGCTCAGTGGGGGCATACATAAGAATTAATGTGCTGTTTAAAAAAACTAGTTATAATTCGACTATTTATTTGATTAAAAAAAATATTTTGGGGAACTCGTACTTTTACCCCTACAAAATTGACCCCATTGTATTATTTATTCTTTATTGTATGGTATAAATTGTAAGAAAAATATACAAAGTGAACTTTCTTTAGTGGTTACAAGATAATGGAAAGTTTTCCAATACGGTTCTGGTTTTAAACTATCTATCTGACTTAAGAGTCTGTTGGCTTTCAATAGTATAATAAAAATAAAAAGTTCGTGGGGCCTCCTCTTGTCCTGGCTAGGGCCCTTTCTTCTGGCGCTTTTCTTTCCTCGCCGGTTCGTCTGTGTAAATCCCCGGAGATCTCGTGTGTTGGTCGCGGACGACTGGCGCTGTCTACGATCTGAGTGGTGGGTTTGGGCGAGGTCATGCAGCTATGCAGCTTAGCTAAGGTGACCCTTAAGGCTAGCGTGGGAGGGTAGGACACGGGGGAATATGTGTATATGTGTCGTGGTTTTCCTTTCTTGATTTCGACGGTTCTGAAACAGAAGAAAAAATTCAACTCACTTCGGATCCTAGATAAATGATACTATAGATAGGAAACTTGAACAGATTTCGTGGTCATTAACAGTGCTAACTGTTGACACTTTCTCCAACTTCTATTGCTTTCCTTTTCTAGGAATTATCGGTAATACAGTGAGTTAAATTACCTGTAGCCGGTAAAAGATGCAAGCGCCATCTAGTTGTATGCTCTACAACTATATACCTACCTACTCAATATTTGTTTTAGGCATTCTGACGCCGCTAAATTTAAAATGACATAACAAATCTCACCCTACACAGATCACTCATAAATTGATTTTGTAAAATAATTTTCACGTAGATAATTTTTTTTGTCACCATGAGAAAATAAGTACTTTTGATAAAAAGCATTAAAATCACTCAAGCATTAAAGACACTTTTAAATGCTCTAATAGTCTTCTACTTAAAATAAGAAATAATTTTGATACTGTAACTTTTTAAAATGTTTGTTGAAAAAATTTCAAATTTCAGTACATATTTTGAAAAAAAAGAGTGGAAATGATTATAGAGTTTCAGTGCTTTCTATATTGTATTAGCTTTCACGGTGAATAAAAAATATTACAAGTAAATAATTTTACTAAACCAATCTTTGATTAATTCTTGTAATAGAGATTTATTATGCAACTTTAAATTTTTCATTGTGTTGATATCCATAAAAAGAACTACCTACCTCTGATCACATTTTTTATTAAAAAAAAACAAAAAAACAAAACATTTTATTATTAATAAAAAAATGTGATTATATCATGATCAGACATTATTATGTTATATAAATAAATGTGAATGAAATACACACTAAAAACACAAATAAAACACACACCAACACTCGCCAAACCTAACCAACAATAAACATGGACAACATGAACGACATGAAATGATTCATAATTGCAATTGTCAAAATTTATTCTATAAAATCTTTGTGGCGACATCTATAGACTCTTTCCCCAACTTGTATATCCATCTCAAGTCACGTGGTTCCCAGTGTCCCCATATTTTCAAGTATAAGTTCTCGGGCCCTGCTTCGGATTCGCCTTCGGATCGGTAGTCCACCGCGTTCCGGATCGTCGGGTTGCTGTGGATCTAGAAAAGCTTTCCCGCTCGCTGTTTGATCGCTTCCAGGGCTGGTGTGAATTCCAGATCCCGGCGAATGTCATTGTTGCGGACGAAACAGAGAGCCCCCGTCGCGTGCGACAGCTGTGCCTCCAATATTGCTTGGATGAAGGTTAGATTATTCCACAGGCAGAGACGGCTGTCTCTCCTCCGTCCTCGCTTTGTGCACTACGACGTCGACGTGTTCTATGTCAGCGTGTGTGATCCAACGTTACACCTAGATACTTAACGGTGGTCGCCCACTGGATATCTTCCCTGTTGAGCCTTACGTCTCCCTAGGGACGCGTCCTATACCTGCGGAAAAACATAATACCTGTGCTTTTTCCAGGTTGATCGCCACATTCTATCTGTGGCACCAGTTTTCCAGTCGGTTGACGACTCTCTGGAGGTACCTCTTCGCCATTTCGAGGTTCATGGAACGTGTCGCGATGACGCTGTCATTGGCGTTGAGGCACACGGTCGTGCGCTATGTTCTGTCCTGGGCATATGGGATGAAAGATGTTGAACAGGATGTAAAGTGGTCGTTTCGTATTTGCCTAATTTGTGTCATTCTGAATTGCAATATTGATCACTAATCCTCTTAAATAAAATAAAAAGTTTTATTATTAATGAAGAAGAATGAAGAAGTAGACTAATTCAAAAATTCTGTTCTTAAGACATTATTTATGTGTTTCTTATACGTAGTAAGTTAGAATACGATGTTCCTGTGTGGTATCCTTACTATGCAACATACATGGTGTTTGGTAAGTCGATGCATTCCTTGCAGGAGGTTATAGTGTCAGTTATTTGTGATACATTTCCTTAATATACCTCCGAAAATGCTTAGTTTCCGATCTACAGGGTGTTGAAGTTTTAATAAAAAAATGCAAATTTAAAAATATTGCGGAAACCGCTAAGAATATTTTAATGAAATTTTACAGACTGACAGTTAACAACGATACACATTTCACGATAAAAATATTGTTTTCAGTTTCACCAGTGGCGTGCGCACAGGTACGTGTCTGGATATTTTTAAAGAAAAAAATGATACGCCAGTGGTTTTTCTTAAAATAAAAATTATTTTTGAATTTCTTGTTCAATTTGGAAGAGAAAAGGTATCTTGTCTGTTTTTCTTATAACGCACCATTTTCGAGTAAAAAAATTAAAATCGATTTTTTGCATGGCGTAATCCGGTTTCAATAATTTGAAAAATAGCAGAAATTATGGCACTTACTTTTTTCTGTACCGTACCTACCAATTTTATTACAACACGTTATTACTAAAGTGACAGCTATTATTAATTTTGTTAAACAATAACAAAAACGAGTGCACAGCCAATCTGCTAATTTCTGTTTTAAGATAGTGAATAGTGAATCTAAAAACTGATAATTTTTTTGAGACTTACGTTGTTAACTGTAAGGGGTAATAATTTTTTTGTAATAAAATTCATACAAAAAGAACTAAGTGCATAATTTCTGCTATATTTCAAATTATCGAAACCGGATTACGCATGCAATAAATCGATTTTAATTTATTTACTCGAAAACGGTGCTTCATAAGAAAAACAGCCAAGATACCTTCTCTCTTCCAAATTGAACAAGGAATTCAAAAATAATTTTTATTTTAAGAAAAATCAGTGGCGTATCATTTTATTCTTTAAAAATATCCAGAGACGTGCCTGTGCGCACGCCACTGGTGAAACTGAAAACAATATTTTTATCGTAAAACGTGTATCGTTGTTAACTGTCAAAGCCTGTAAAATTTCATTAAAATATTCTGAGCGGTTTTCGCAATATTTTTAAATTTGCATTTTTTTTATTAAAACTTTAACATCATGTAGATCGGAAACTAAGCGTTTTCAGAATATGGTATATTAAGGAAATATATCACAAATCAGTTGTACTATAATCTCCTGCCAGGAATGCATCGACTTACCAAACACCTTTATATTAATCGGGTGCACAAAGAAAATTTTAATTCTCTTAAGAATGTCTCCTGAAGGTAGTAATTTATTATTATGTATCTCTTGGTGACAGTGATGAGTGACATTGTTTCTTTATTTGCAAGAAGCATTTTTTTAACAACATTTTTATACAATTTATTACATAATAATATTAGTTATATATTTCACCTTTGATTTTTAAACTTGTTTCAGATTGTTTTTCATAAGCGCTTTGATCTCTTGTGATGTTTAGAATTTAGGCTTGCACACAAAATTTCTTAAATTTTATTTGTTATACCTAGGTAAAACATAACTCTACATTGATTTAATAATAATAACGTAATATTTGTACTTTATTTTCTTATAAAACTAAATAGGTAACACTCGGGAAGCTTAACCATACTTTATTCTCTAACTCTACCATTACTAATCCTCTACTGACTAGCCTTGTAACTTGTTTCTTCTTCTTCTTCTTATTCTTCTTCATCTTCTTCTCCTTTCGGCACAATTAGCGCGAAATTTGAATTCAGTTACTACATTAATTAAGTTGTTATTCTTTCGTTCAATAGAGTATTGATGTTGGTAACATTGCACTTGTAGTTATTAGGAACTTAAATGTGGGATTTTACGAACTTCAGTAAGAGACTAACTCAAGAAGTAGGTACGTTTAATTTACTAAAGTAAATGTAAAGATGTGTTATATGCAGTAGTTTTTATGTAAAGTAGTAATTTTAACATTAGCATAAAAATTAAAGAGAACACAATTTTGTTGAATTTATTATTCTTCAATTAAATTTTATATGTATGTATATAAAAAAACAGTTCCATTTTTTTAATTAAAGTTAGAGTGTTGTAACTCATTATAAGCTACTCTGTATACGTTAAAAATTTTAATATAGAATACAGGCAATTCAGCTGTTTAATAAGCTTGAACACGGCCAATGAAAATTAAATAAACACAAAACATTGACATAATCCACGAATTTTTTTGTTCTAGGTTGTACTGAGCCACCATTCACCTGAGGCAAATAAAACTGAGGTCCCTGAAAATGTGGAGAAGAAGCCCGACATCAAGCGCATCATTAACTTTGAGATGGTGGAATTCGTAGACGGTTCTTGTTGTGGTTTCGACGTGATATTACTTTGTACGGGTTACAAGTACAGCTTTCCATTTCTACATGAGTCATGTGGAGTGACCGCAGATGATAATTACATACAACCTCTTTACAAGCATATGATCCACATTGAAAAGCCTACGATGTGTTTTATTGGAATACCTTTCAACGTGTGCGCCTTTCAAATGTTCGATTTACAGGTAAATCTTCTATTTAGAGTTAAAAGTAATAGTTGCATTGACTATACTTTTTCATCGAAAAATAAATAATAATTTCTCACGTATTTGCTATTCTAGTCGACTTTATAAAATTTATTAAAAAAAGATTAAAAAAAGGAGTTGATCAATACTGTATTTCCAATAAGTAAACTACAATATCAGAATTACGTCATGAAACCTTTTGTCCCTTACTCGGACGTTATTTCATAACAAAAGTGATGTACTGCAGTAGAGACTTTGTCCTTATCAGTAGGTATTAGAAAATAAGTAAGAAAATAATTCAAAAGTTAGTTTGAGAGTTTAACATGCAACGTGGCAAAATCCATCCGACCAAAAGCGTTTCTTAAGTAGAGTCTCTTACTTACAGTTTTAATTGTACAGTCCAGACGGAATAGGCCAAACCTGGGTAAAGTATGACAGTTATTCGTTACAGTTTTAAGGCTTTTCCAAACCAACACGAAATAGCGATATCGAAATTATTCTTTGTGATATTATCCCATAAAGGCGTATACCACAGTAAATTCCCATTCCTACACTGACACAAATTTTCACTGTGTTGTATACAAAAAATTGTGGGACAATATCGCAAAGAAAATTTCGCCCTCGATGCGAATATTAGAATAAAATAGAAGGGCGTAACTGATACAAATTTGCTAATCTCAATTTTTGTTTTTATTTTTATGTACAATAACAACGTTGTCATGACATTACTACCTGTCACTGTCATGGCCTACCATATAACATTGTCCCTGAGTAATTAGGGGTCTCACGGTCTAATCAGTGAGATTTAGTTAAAACAGGAAAAAATACGCATTTTGAACTGTATCAATGTCGATATGTCACAACAAGTAAAATTTAAATCCTTACGTAATAGACAAATTGTCATAGTTGAAATTGTACAGACCGAATCTGATCCGTGTGTACTATCTACATAGATAATATAAAAATGAACAACTTCAAATTAATTATATGATATTATTTTTATAAGGATTTGGCAATATTTAAGAATAACCAATACGTGTTTCGTAAAATAGACATACTAATGTGCTTAAAACTTGAAAAACGATATGAAAGAATATTCCTAAATTTAAATAAGTAAAAATTTAACATTAGCCGTGTTATTCTTAATGCTCGTGCTAGGAAAGAATAACCTCATACGCAAGTGAGATCTTGTTGATATGTTATCGCTGTCATCATTAACGTATTTTCTCTTGTTTTGTTTAATTTTGACATTTTCTAGTTCGAAGAATTTTTATTATTTTTCTTGGTTGTACTGTGTCAGTGTGTTTATAGTGTTTTTTTTTCTTCAAGTGGTTTATTATAAACGTAGTCTTAACCATAACGAAATTGTTCTTGAATGATATCCTGTTGCCAGGATACTTCGCTTATATGAAATTATTTTTAATGAGCATGCTCAGTAACATTGATATAATTTTAATTTGTTAATTACTACAAAAATCAATATTTTTCTATAAATTTAAATATATAATTCTATAACTCTATTAGTTTGTCACTTGGGGTTTGAAACGGCACTTATGTCCAAAGTGCGTAAGGTCGAAATCGATCTAGTAAAAATATTGAGAAATATTTCATGACAATAGGGCCCTTTACACATACAGGATTACAGACGCTATAAATCCTCAGTCCGTGTAAAGAAAGCTAGACACTGGTGCGCACGAATTTGCGCACTTGTTGATCCGCAGATCAAACTTGTTCAGTCCAGCTACGTTCACACGTACGTATCTGATGCGTGGATCCAGCGCGTCCGGTCCAAAACCGTTTAAAAAACCGTCCGTGTAAAGGGCCCTAATGTGCACTATAGCGTTGCCTATTATTTGGCGTATGTGACGTCACTACTAAAAAGGTCTATTAGAAAAAAGGCAGAAATGCCTGAAAGAGGTCTAACAATTACAAGATATCTTATTTTCTTAATAAAAACTTTTTAATTTTTTAATAGTATCTCGCTTATTGTGATATGGACCCAACAAGACCTATAGGACTATGCTCAAATATGTAAAAACATATAGGGTGTTCCATTTAAATTAACAAAGTTAACATCCGTGGCCATTTTGTTTGGACTTCATTTGTTTTTGTACTACCATTTTCGAAAACTTCATAAAATATCGTGCAACTTTTGTATTTTGTATTTCACATTTTTTTATTACTCTAAAAAGTTAATGGAGGTCAAAATATAGTGAATTACCCTGTACGTACATTGTTTTAAATTATAACAGATTATTAAGTAAATATCAATCATCTCTTGTTTATAATACAATTTAATTAATACCCATGTTAGTACTGCGAACAGCGGACTGTAAGTAGGGCTACATCTCTCATGGACACTTGCTTTTTTCATTCAAAATCTAATCGGATTGGTTTCTTATAGATATAAAAGTCACCCTATTGATTAAAAAACTAATAGACTATTTTAGTGTGACGTCACATATTTAGGCAACCCATAAGAAATTGTCATAGTTCAAATTGTACAGACAGATTTTGACCTTTTTGTACTATTTACATAGATACTATAAAAATATGAACAACTTCAAATGAATTTATTTTTACAAGGATTTCGAAATATTTAAGATCAACACGTGTTTCATAAAATAGATACACTAATGTGCTAAAACGATATAAAAGAATATTCCTAAATTTAAATAAAGTAAAAATTTAACATTAGCCATATTATTCCTAATGCGCTTGCTCGGAAAGAATAGCCTCATACGCACGTGAGATCTTGTTGATATGATCATCGCTGTCATCATTAGCGGATTTTGTTTAATCTTGGCATTTTCTAGTTCTACTAAGTATCTTTATTGTTTTTCTTGGTGTTGTGCTGTGTCATGTGTTTATCGTGTGTTTTTTTTCTTCAAGTGGTTTATTATAGACGTAGGTACTCTTAACCACAACCAAACCTTGAATGATAGCATGTTGCGAGGCTACTTCGCATACATGAAATTATCTTTATTGCGCATGCTCAGTAACATTTTAATTTATTAATTACTATGAAAGTCAATATTGTTCTATAAATTTAAATATATAAATTCTATAATTCTGTAGTTTGTCATTTGAGGTTTGAAACTTCTTAAATATGTCTAATATTGCCAAAATATCGCAGTATTTAAGGTTACGACAAAGAAGCCATTTTTTTGGCACTTATCTCCAAAGTACATAAGGTCGAAAATCAATCTAGTAAAAATATTGAGAAATTCTTCACGACAATGTGCACTATAAGATTGCCTATTATTTGGCGTATGTGATGTCACTACTAAAAAGGTCTATTGTCAATACTGATGTAAGTCGCCGGTCACTCAGTATCAGGAAGGTGGAAGTTCCTTACTTATTTTTCCTCACTTGTTATCAAATGAAACGTTCCAATAATTGAAAAATATCAAACTCAGGTGAGGAACTGAAGATTTGATGCAAATTGAAAGAAACTAATGTAGCAGTAACATAAAAGCAATGTCAACTAGTCGTGGTCTCGTAAATGAACAAAAAAAAAATGTGTTGATAATAAAAGGACGTAATTATACACACTTAAATCTGTTTGTCTAGTTCTCTTTCATTTAAGTAAAGCGAATTTGCACAAAACATTAAATTATACACTTCATTTTACATTATTCTTAGTCCAATTACTCGGGGTTTTTACCTCTGAATTCTTTATAACTGAACCGATTGACGTGAAATTTTGATTGAATATGGGGAATGCCTCAAGGAACAAAACTTATATAGTGCCGAAGTGTACTTTTGCCGTGAGGGTGGTTCCCACCCCTTCTTGGAAATTTTTACGCCCAAAATAACCACAGGAATCGATAGAGGAGTTAATTTTAAGTAACAACACACACACACGCACACACGCTCACACGCACGCACACACACACGCTGTTACAAATTCGCTTCTCACTCACCGGTAAGAGATACGACCTAACTTAAATGGGGCAAAGTTGCATAATCAGGGGACCAACATTATGTCTCTAAAAAATCAAGGCTAACATGATTAGTTATCGAAATATTTAAAATAAAAACGAAATTTTGGAAATCCGTTTTTGTTTCATTTCAGCTTTGTTTGAGGTGATATTGAAAAAAGAAGAACCCTTTCTCATGGGCACTTTTTGCCCTCTATCGAATGGCATAATCAATATTTATATATAACGTTTCGTCTCTCCAGGACCATCATCAACTTAATTTTTTTAAATACGACCCTTTAAATTTTATTACATTTTTTGCAAGCCTTTATGACCCCCCGATACTGTACTGCCTCAGCCCGAACCAGATTCAGACGTTTTGTCTCGAAAAATTCATCTTCACTGTATTCGTTCCAAATTTATCTAAATTTTTCATTTAGATTTCTTTATTTATTGAATTATCGTACACTCTAAGTGTCGTTAGACCCTGTGAAATTTATCTAGTTATTTAAAGTATTAATTAATAAGGGTTGAAGAGTTGCAATCAATTCAAAATTATTTTATAAGAAGGGAATAAATGTTTATTTAATACGAATGCACATTAAAAATGTTTTTACTCTTTCAATAATATTTTTTCATTTTATTTTCGAAAGAAGGGATATTTTTCAAGAGTTGAAAAGTTGCAATCGACAAAAAATATTTTTTAATCAAGAAATCAATTTTAAGTTAATAAAAATGCATGACAAAAACGTTTCAAGTTGAAAATAAAAAATTTCATCCAAAAGGGGTGGTTTTTAAAGTTTTTTCCGGGTTGAAAATTTAGAACACATTAAGTTTAATGTTAAATAACACATGAAATTACTTATACTGCATAAATAAAAGAGATTTGATTACATAAAATGCTTAAATTTGTATTTTTTCTTTTTCTTTCAATAAGGGGTGCTTTTCACCCCTTAAGAACAAAAAAATATTTCATGACAATAGGGCCCTTTACACATANTCAAGAAATCAATTTTAAGTTAATAAAAATGCATGACAAAAACGTTTCAAGTTGAAAATAAAAAATTTCATCCAAAAGGGGTGGTTTTTAAAGTTTTTTCCGGGTTGAAAATTTAGAACACATTAAGTTTAATGTTAAATAACACATGAAATTACTTATACTGCATAAATAAAAGAGATTTGATTACATAAAATGCTTAAATTTGTATTTTTTCTTTTTCTTTCAATAAGGGGTGCTTTTCACCCCTTAAGAACAAAAAGCACACCTAGCGCATATATAAGTTTTGAAGTGGGGGGTAAGATGAGCCTAAAAAATTCGGAGGTTTCTATCTGTTAAAATTGTTCAATTGTCTTGATGTTTCAGTTTTTAACCCTGAACGATACAACTAAACTCGTAATAAACAAAAGAACTTTTATTAGTAAATGGTCTTTCCAAAAGAAATATTATCCAACGTCCAATCTTGAAAAATCATAAGGCCGAATTTATTAAGATAAAATATTTTTGCTATTTCTCTTTTTTATGGGAGGAAAATGAATCATTAAGAAATATGTTGCGATGTCGATATTACACCCAAAACAGTTTCTTTTATGATTTTTTTTCAGGCACGCTACTTCTGTCAATCTTTGAATGGTTCGATGCGACTGCCGTCGTCAGAGGAGATGCGAATGCACACTGATCGGGAAATGCAAAGACGGTGGGAAAAAGGCTACAGCAAGCGCCAGGCCCATATGATGGGTCAGTATCAAGAAGAGTACTACAATGACCTGGCCGCAGATGCTAATACTATTCCAATTGCCCCCGTCCTAGTTAAGCTTAGAGATTTAAGTGTCAAAAGGTTATATGATGACCTTCTCAACTTCAGAGAAGATCGGTATAAAATTGTAGATAATGAGACTTATGTCAGAGTAAAGTAAGATGTATTTTTAAATTGTCCTATATTTAATATTTAATTGTAGGGTAATTTTATATTATATTATTTATCTATTTGTAAATATAGAAGGGTTTCCTTAATTTATACCAGTGAAAATATATGGTATTATCTTGAATCTGTTTTGTTTTGTTTCAAAGAAATAAAGTTATTTTTGTAGGTCAAATTACAGAACTGATGATATAGAAATGGATAAATATATCGCTAATAGTATGGGATATATGCCTATAAGTATAACGTAATCTAACAGATACTTTTAAACGAGGAGCCTCGTATGTTTTTTTAAATACGTTAGGTACATAAATTAAGGGATATTAAAAGAATCCCAAAATTTTGGGTGTTTTTCAAATAGCTCTAAGTTGGAGTGAAATGGTCGTAGAGAGAATAAAAAAAAGCAAATTAAAACTTCGAGTTTCTAGTTCTCGGATCTGGATATAAAATTTTTTAACGTGAGTAGTTTTTGAGAAATCATAAGAAAATCAACGAAAAGAAAATTGCAAATTTTTGCTTTTCTTTAAAAAGGCCTCTGGACTTAAAAAATATTTTTTTTTTAATTTGACCATAAAGCTCTTTTAGATAATTTAATATTCTTCAATTTAATCGGTGCCGGAGCCCTGTACGATAATTTGTCGCTGAGTTATCGGCGATCAAAGCAAAAAAAATCATTTTTTACTTTGGCAATCAATTACTCAGGAAATAATGGTCATACAGAAAATGTTGGTATATCATCGCTGTCATCATTAGCGGATCCAGGCATTTTCTAGTTCTACCAAGTATTTTTTATTGTTTTTCTTGGTGCTCTGCTGTGTCGTTCTGTTTTTTTCTTCAAGTGATTTATTATAGACGAATTCTTAACCAAAACCAAACTTTTTTTAATGGTATCCTGTTGCGAGGCTACTTCGCTTACATGAAATTATCTTTAATGCGCATGCTCAGTAACATTGATATAATTTTAATCCATTAATTACTATAAAAGTCATTATTGTTCTATAAATTTAAAAATATAAATTCTCTAATTCTTTTAGTTTGTCACTTGGGGTTTGAAAGTTCTTTAATATTTCTAATATTGCCTGAATATCGCGATATTTAAGGTCATGACAAACAAGACATTTTTTTGGCACTTATGTCCAAAGTACATAAGGTCGAAAATCGATCTAGTAAAAATACTGAGAAATTCTTTATGACAATGTGTACTATGGGGTTGCTTATTATATGGCGTATGTGACGTCACTACTAAAAAAGGTCTATTGCTATTTATACAGGGTATTTCCTAAGTACACAATTTCTTATGGTATTTAAAGACAGTTTCTATAAACGTGTGATGTACGACGTAGAAATGCTTAGATTCCGAGATAGAGGGTGTCGAAAATTTGAAAAAATATATTAATATTTGAAATAAATTTGGAACAGTCGATGTTAGATTCTTAAAAATTGGCAGTTATTGTACGCTGGTAAAGAGCTGCATTTTAGAGTATAAAAACAATTTTTATCTCCCGCAAGTGACGTAGTTATTCGTGACTCAGTCGACGTTTTCGTCATAAAATGTGGAAAGCCAATGGATTTTTTAACATTTTTATTATTTTCGAGTAACAACAAAAGAAACTTATTTATTTAATTCCACGGCAACAAAAATAAGAGATAATATGGTATGCCTTTTTTTGTTGTCTTAATTGATACCTAGATTATTTGCATTTTGCTGGTTTGCTCGTTAATCAAAACTGTGGATTATTTAAAAAAAAATTCGAAAATTAATAACTTTACTAACGCTGAAATGACTCGGATGCAATTCATCTACGGCTTAGCAAATGGGAATGCGGAAGAAGGGCGGCGAATTTATCAGGAACGTTATGCTAACAGAGTAACGCCATGTGCTAAAACATGTAGAAAACTACTTCTCAGATTGAATGAAACTGGTAGTTTTAAGCGTAGTATGGATGTTCCAGGTAGAGCTTTAGCAGTAACAACCCCAGTGTTAAAAGAAGCTATTCTTCGAGTGATAGATCATTCGACCAATACCAGGAAGATGCCATTGCAGCTTCATGTAAGCCCAAAGACTGTTTGGAAAGTTTTGAAAATTTGTAGGCTATTCCCATACCACATACAACGGGTACAACCTCTGATGCCCCGTGATTTTCAGCAAAGACTAAATTTTAGTAGGTGGTTACTCCATACAATGGCACATAACAATTTATTGACGAAAATTTTATTTAATTATGAGGCAACTTTTTCGTAAGAAGCAATTAATTTTCATTATGTACATTTTTGGGTGCACGAAGATCCGCATGCAATAAGAGATTATCATTTTCGCTGAATGTATGGATAGGGATTATTCATGACTATCTTTTGGACCATACTTTTTACCAGCTCGATTAACTAATGTCTCGTATAGGCATTTTCCAGTCGAAGAACTAAACGTTTTATTAGAAGATGTACCTCTACGCGTAAGAGCTATTTTCTGGTTTATGAACTATGGTATCCCAGCTCATTTCAGTCGTGTTGTTCGTCAGTACCTCGACAGCACCTTTTCTAATAGCTGGACTGGACGCGCAGGTCCCCAAGCTTGGCCAGCTCGCAGTCCCGATATGAATTCTTGCTCCTTGCAACTTTTATGTATGGGAATACCTCAAGTATCTTGTGTACAAAACACTTGTTATGAAATCGAATAATTCAAAGTTGCGATGTTATACAAAATTCTTCAGGAATTTTTGAACGAGTGAGACAATCAATGATGAATCGATTGGTATCGTGCGTTTTATCAGAAGCTGGCCATTTTCAACATTTGCTTTGATTTTGTGTCGAAACTGATTATTTCTATAATTGTTGTTATTGTTGATTAGGCAGAAAATTCGAGACACCTTTGTAAAATGTTAGGCAAGTCTAAAAATAATAAAAATTTAAAAAAATACATTGGCGTTCTACATTTTATGACGAAAACGGCGACTGACTCACGCCTAACTACGCCACTAGCGGCAGATAAAAACTGACTTTATACTAAAAATGCTGCCTTTTATCAACGTATCAACTGCCAAATTTTATGAATATATTTTTTTAAATTTGCAACACCCTGTATCTCAGAATTTAAGCATTTCCGGCCACATAGAAACTTTTTTTCTTTAAATACCATAAGAACCGTACTTAGGACACACCCTGTATAAAATAATTTAATATCGTGTTTCTGAGATACATAGACTGAATTTACATTTTTTTTAAATGGGTCATCCTGTATTTTTTTGTATATTTGTGTAGTACGCCTTTTAGGATTGCCATGATAAGTTTGGTAGATCTATCTAACCAAATATAAGCATAATAGACCTATAAAACTTAGTATGAATGTCAACATGAGAAAGCAAATAATTTATAAATATACATGAATCTTTTATAGACTACAAGCCCATCGGAAATTTTCAAGGAGTCATTTGACCCAACATGAATTACTTATAAATCAATACTACCACATATAATAATAACTTTAGAAACTATGCCGTCAATTTTTGTTGGTACAGGTAAGCTAAGAAAATTTTGGCCCGGGTTTTGGTGATTTATTACAGTACCTACGGCATTTATACTGTAAGTTTCGGATCTATACATAGATCAATTTTTAAGCAACGCCGTACGTACTTGCTGATACAGGGGCTATGAATACATAGTACAACCCTCTATTTGTAAGTAGCGTATGAGGGGTGATTTGAACCAACATCAAATTCACTAATTTTAATTCTATTTTATAAAATAATGACATTTTTGAACATGCCGTACATTTTTCATGAAACATGTGCTGACAATAGGAAAATTAATTTCCCTGAGAAGTAAGATTTCACGATGAAAAATTTTTGTACGGCATTAATATATTTTGTTAATACTGACAACAATAATCAACAAAAACAAAATGTACGGCAAAAAAATGGTTCTAAATGGCTTGAAATATATTTTTGCAAATAAGTATTACTTGCAAGAATTGATTTTATTTTTACTACTATTTTCTCCTTAATACAAATTATTTACTACTATACGGCCTTTCTATAATAATAATTACAATATCATATAGAAATACTTTTCAGTAATGCCGTACATATTTGTCGATACAACAGTTTGATGCGGTTTTTTGCATTCGATTCGTTAGAGCGTCCAGAAAGTTTGTGACCCTATGTGATCAATGAGAAATGAAAATTGCATCGTTGCATAAGAAAAATTTATTTATAAAATTGCATCTCGAAGAGTTAAAATATGAAAAATTTATAACTCGGACAATATTGACGGAAATGAGTTCAATTTTGCTACTCGGGGGTTTTTGGGGTCGCTGAACACGAATATCACAACGGTAATGGTCTCCGAGGAGGACCGTTGCCGTTGTTCGTGTTCAGCGACCTCAAAAACCCCGAGGTAACGAGTTTCGGCTAAGTTTATAACGAATTTCCACAAAAGTCCAGGAAACCGGCCACCCTGGGTACTAGGTAATATTTTGAATATAACATTTTTAAAACAAGAAATTGTCAAAATATTGTAGATTTTCACAATTTATTTATTTGTTTTTTAATTCGAATGTTTAATTTGTACCCCTTGAAAATTTCCGATGGGCTTGTAGTCTATTAGGCATTAAGGGGGCATCGTAAGGGGGCTTACGAGGCATACTTATGTATTATTGTAATCCTAGAAGAAAGTGATCTATCAGAATGTACAAACACAGGGAGTTCTATTAAAAACAATAAAAAACAATTTCTGTCGACTTTGTATTAACCGAAAGTACCTATATTGTAACCAGAAATATTGTTAAGTCATAACTGCAATCTCATGTAAATAAATATCAATGTTTAGTTCTGTGTTCTAACCTACAAATGATGAGATTAGGAATAAATGTAGGTACACCGCAACCATACTAATCAATAAAAAATGCTGAATAATTGTTCCATTTCCCTTAGATTTCCTGTTATTGATATTATAATTTTTGATAAGTAAAGGTATAAATAATTAGGATTAATGGAACATAAATATATCACTTTTATTTTGTGTGCCTGTAGAAGTGCTTGTCTATTAAATATCTATTTCTAATAATTTTTAGAGGTAGTGCTTGGACCAATGTGAGTTTTATTTTAACGTATAATCTATAATGTTATTTATTCGCAGCATAGTTTTATTTTTTGTTTTTTCAATTTTGTATTTTAGCACAACTGAAAAAGTTATAATCCTATGTGCTTTGTTGGCATTATTTAAAATTAATAAGTAACAATATAATTTACAAAAATGTTTCCATTTTTTGACAATCTCTTCTAAGTTAAATGAGATTTGAATTTTTTAAACATAATCTTTCTAATTCATCAATCATATATGAGTGATTTATTTTTGCACTCAATATTTAGTTAATTAAAAACCAAGTCTGAGTAAAAAATGACTCAATAATAATTAAATTTAAACCATATTAGAGAAAAAGTCCACTCTAAATTTTTATATATGCAGAATAGAGTCAATTGATAGTAACTCGGAATTGAGTAAAACTCGCTCATTTCTGATGCAATATTTTCACTCAGTTGTACTCATACTAATAGAGCGAGAATTTCACTCAATCGGGTGTGGACAGACATTGATACATTATTGAGTGAAATTGAGTGAAATTTGAGTGAAATTTTTTTACCGTGTATAGCCGTTCGTGGTTAGTTAGCTAATTTATATTAATAAACCTTCTATTTTTCTATAATACAAAAATTAAATAAGTCCAGTAATCTTCCCGAAAAATATACGTAACATCTCCAAAATATCTACCAACGCAAAAAATATCTGTTTGAACAAATAAACTTGACTAAAGTTATTTTGACGTGAAAACAATCTAATAACGTCATCTGATAAAGTTTGAGCGAGTTTGAGTTATTTGATAATATATAAAAGATACAGGGCCGCGAACTCTTGGTCACCCGATATATACAATTTCTGTGAAATGTATTATTTCTGGATATTTCTTGTATATCTATTATCCGCGTAGGTATAAAATATACACAGACATTGTATATTAAATTGCTACGTGGGAGAGGAGGTGGACCGTGTAGTTATTAGAACAAACAACATTATTTGGATAAATATTGCAAATGATAAAAAATGTCCAAATTTTACAACAAAAATCGATGTTTTGGAATCCACTGTAACTAATAATCAATATAAGTAATTAAGAATTGCCTATTGCAGTAAATGAAACGGAAGACTTAAGTCGTTCACAAAGCTTTTGTTGGGGCTTAGGTGGGTTAATTTTATTCCAGAACCCTACAATGAGTTAACGGTGCAGCTTTACCCCGCCCTCCTCTAGAACTGCTAGAAAAATTAATATTTTTCATTTGTAGAGACTTCAAAATTAAACATAAAACCAAATTTTTTCTGTTCTTTTGTTTTCTCTCTCTTAATATAATTGTTCACCAAATATTATTAAACTAAATGCTATTTACAAAAATAATGAGTAATAAAATTCAAGTAACAGTACTAATACAAATACCTATTCAGTATATACTTTTCACAGATTCAAAATGAAAATAGCAATTATCGGTGCTGGCCCCGCAGGTCTTGCGGCTTTAAAATACAGCATAGATGAGGGACATGACTGTGTTTCTTATGAAAAATCTGGAAAAGTTGGAGGACTCTGGAATTATTCCGACAATACAGAAGTAGACGAATTCGGACTGCCAATTCATTCTTCTATGTACTATGGGTTGAAGTAAGTTACGGTAAACTTAAAATAAAAGTTGGAATATATACGAGTATAAATATATCCCGTAAATATATATTAATATGTAACAGTATCTTCATTGTTATTTACCAAATGCATAATATAACATCGTGTCCTTATATTTCCGAACCATGGTAATTTTGCAATATCGTTATATAGAATATCTTACTCAATTCTTATATCAACTCTGTATCAATGATAACAAAACAGAACTTTTATTAAAAATTATAACAAATCTATCATCACATTATTTATAACAAGTGCCCCGGTCTTGGTCGTTATTTCCGTTACAGTTTGAAAAGTATGAAAAAAATATGTTCGAATTTAAAAATCAACTGGATATCTCTATAATATTGTATAGTGTTTCTATATTATTTCTATTTTTATTATTAAAAATACGTTCACATCAATTCTGACCGAGGATTCATGTTCGGCGGGGTCTTAACCATAAATAAATGAATATTCGAATATAGAAAAAAAAATTGTACATTTCCTAGCACTTTTCGTGAATTTTTTAATTTTTTTGACCTGTATTTTGAGGTTAGGAAATTCCTGTGATGTGATAGCTCAATTCTGACACCGGATTCGTGATCAGGAGGCAAAAATACTACTGATAACATATGTCGCATGAAATGTACAGACAACTTTTTTTGTGTAGCTGTGTTTTCATCTATACAAAATGAAAAGCGTACAAGAATTGCATTATGGCGATTATGATAGAAAATTGGAATTTTGCGACTGATCTTTAGACAAGAAGCGTCAGCAATTTCGAAAAGCATATTTTTTGTGACGACGCAGCAGATATTTGTCTGGCAGTAATCCTTGTTAGGCTGAAGAAAGAAGAAAACAAAATAATCCAAGATTTGACGTATGGTGTGGAATCTACAATAAAAAAGCTTTCGAACCTATTTTCATAGAACAAAATTTAAACGGGGAACGTTATTTAGAGTTATGAGAAACGAATTTGTGTTGTTTATTGATGAACTACCGTTAGAAGAAACAGGGCTGTTCTACTTTCAACAGAATGGGGTACCACCTCATTTTACCCGAAATGTGCGGGATTATTTTCATGAACTGTTGCCAGAAAGATGGATAGGAAGAAGGGGTCCAGTAGAGTGGCCTGACCTCACACCATTATACTTTTCTCTGTGGGTTTTTTAAAAACCAAAGTATATGTGACCGCTGCTAATTCTGTTGATGAACTGACAATGAGACAATCAATTCGACGAGAAATTAATAACATTATGTCCAATATGTTGGAAAATAATATTGTTAAAAATTTTCATTACTATAGATTACAAGGAGGGTACCAGTTTGAGCATCTGTTAAAAAAATAGTTATTGATTTGTTACTTTTTATTGTTATTTTAAACTAGTTTCTTTTAGCAAAAAAAAAAGTTGTATTGTTGTTGAATAATCATTGATTGTTCTAAAATGGCTACTCCAGTAAAGAAATGTGAAAACATGTTTTATTTAGAATTTGAAAATTTGTTAAGAAACCACTGTGTTGATATTTAAGAAATCTGGCAACATCGGAAAGCATTATTCATAAATTTTTCGTAGTAAAGTGATTTCCTACAACTTTGCATTTGGAAGTACTAGTATATCATTTCAAATGAAAAAGTTGGCCTGTCAGATTTAAAAAAATACACTGTATACACAGGATGTATCTAAAAACACCAAAAAAATGTAAGGGGCGATTCTATAGTGAAAATTAACAGGGGTCTTTGCTATAAAATTTTTTGAAAAACTTCTCCCTCCAAAAATTAAAAAATAAATTGTTTTTCTCTTTTTATCTTCCATGTATCTCAAGATAAAGAAACCAAACTTGGTGAGCATTATCTGTCAAAAAAACTACACTTTTTGAATGTTTTTCAGCCCTGAAGTATTTTTGTAAGGGGTTGAAGTAATCAACCCCTATTACATTTTCGCGTTAAACAGCTCATCCTTTTAAAAATGCATTGCAATACATTTATTTTTTTTCTCATAAATCCTTAACTTTTCGAAAAAACTGGAAGAGATCAAAAAGTTGAATGGAGCTTTTTAGACATATTTTTTAAAAGGAAAAAATTTTATCGAAAAAAAATTATAAGAAAAAATGTCAACTTCAGGGATGAAAAACTTGTAAAAGTGTCGTTTTTTTTGGATATATAATGTTCACCAAGTTTGGTTTCTTTAGCTTGATATACATGGCAGATAAAAAAGGAAAACAATTTTTTTTTTTAAATTTTTGTAGGGCCGTAACTTTTCAGGGGAGAATCGCCCCTTACTTTTTTTAAATACACCCTATATACAGGGTGACATGGTAAAAAGTGCAATGCATAGCACCACATGATAAAGGACCTCAAAACATATAAAAAGTTTCTATACACATGTCTAAATTTCTTTTGTTTTCGAGATACAGAGAGTTAAAGAAACTTTTCCGATTAAGTGGAGGGAATGTCCTCACAATTGGTACATAATATCCTCTACAAGGTGCCAACCAGTGGCGTAGTTGAAAAATTGAGAGAAACTTTTAATATGAATTATATTACCTATCGCAAAATGTTAAAATAGTAATTTTTGAAGGGCCATATTAATTTATTAATTTGATTTAAGTATAGTGAACCCTCTAACTCCGCCACTAGTTGGCAACCTGTGGAGGATATTATGTACCAACTGTCCAAGTATATTCCCTCAACTTAATTGGAAAAAAAATCTATATTTTCCAAAATTTCTTTACCACTCTGTAGCTTAAACAAAAGAAATTTTGCCATAAGTGTACAGGAACTTTTTATATGTTTTGAGGTCCTCTATCATGTGGTGCTATGCACTGCACTTTTTTCCATGTCACCCTGTAGATGTTAGTGTCCACAGCTCCAAAATTTAAACCACCGTAGACTGTATTATCTATGTGTAGAAAATGAAACTAAAATATTGAAAAAAAAATGCCTAAACAATAAAAAGGAAATTTTAAGTCATACACTCGTTACAAAAATACTGTATCAAATATCCAGTTGGTATAATAACCCAGAATGTTCAGTCTCTGTTTCTACCGATAGACATGACGTAATCTTTTCTTGTTTTTCTTATTTTTTTTATTCAGCTAATTTTAGATAGCAAGTATTAAAGGTGGTTACAATTTTAGGACCAATTTACCGAAAGAGTTGATGCAGTTCGAAAATTTTCCGTATAAAGAATCCGAAAGATCTATCTTGTCTCAAGAAGAGGTTTTGGCGTACATTACTAGTTATGCTGATACGTTTAATTTACTTCCTCATATAAAGGTAAACTTGACTGTAAATTCCTTAATTAATTCACAGTTAATAAAAGTTTGGTTCTAGTTCTTTAAGCATGTAACTGAAGTAACCCCTCTTCCTAGTGGCAAATGGACAATCAAAATTAAAGATCTAAAAACGAATATTGTTGAGGTAAAAGAACATGACGCCGTTTTCGTATGTGTTGGGAATTATTCCGTCCCGAAAAGCCCGAATATTGAAGGCTTGGATAAGTTTAAAGGAAAAACTATTCACAGTCATGTGTATCGAAAGTCGGACTCCTTTAAAAATAAAAGGGTAGTTCTAATAGGAGGTGGGCCTTCTGGTGTTGACATCTCCAGAATAGTTGCCGAAGTAGCTGATAAAGTAAGTAATAAAGTTGCAATTTATCGTTAAATTACATTAATCCGAGAATTAAAGAACGTTTATTTCTTCATTTATATAGGTCATTCTCCCACAATATTCTACCCCCATATATTTTAGATTGCTTGCTCTTAATAATGTATATTTTCAAATGTTTCACATTCATGTAAATTTGAACAAAAAAAAAGTAGCGTCGACACTAGGAGTTTCCAGTTAATTAAAAAGGGTAACCAACGATGAAGAAAATTATGTTTTGAAAATTCGAGAGTTTATTTCCAGTCAAAACTTTTGTGTCTAGAGATTTTCTTTACGTAAAGTATCTATAAAGTCTACAAATCATGACATCAACGTCAAAAGCGGGCCATAGATAAAAACTAATTTACGTAATCATGGGAAAAGTTGAATTTATCCGTCTGGTCATTCAAATAAGCTTGAATTTGCGAAATATAAAAATTGTATTAGTCTTCTTTTATGATAAAAAATTATTGTCATGTCTCTTCCTTCAAAGATCGTAGAACTATAGGAACAGTTTTAGGTCCCAACGTTGTGTAATTTTAGGCGAGTCACAGATTTTCAGCTAAGACAATGCAAGCAATTGGCGGTGACCAGGCATACAACCTGAAAAAATATGGTACTTTAAATAGTGTTTAAATAATATTGCCGAAAGTGTATCTCTAATAAGACCATTATTTTAATTTAAATTTGTTCATTTTAGGTTTATGTCAGCCTCAGATCTCAAGGCGGACCACTTGAAAGGTTTTCAGAGAAAGTTATAATTAAGCAGAAAATTTTGAAGGTTACTGAAAACTCGGTCATATTTGAAGACAATTCTGAGGAAAAAATAGACGCCATAATATTCTGTACAGGTATGCAAGGAGTTAGTAAAATTAAAAAACTTAAGTAAAATAATTTGGCGACTTGTCAAATAATTGACCAAATGCTGATAGTTGACTAGGACAACGTTTGACTTTTTTTCAATCTTCCTCAGTAGTAATAAAGCAAGAGATTCATGAACATTAAATTATATGTTATACTTACATGAATTCTTAAAGTCTAACAGATCAATCGAAGATAGCAATGAAGAGTTCTTTTTACCATATCTAATATAATGTAATTGAGCATTGACACATAAAGTACAACCGTTACAAAAGGCTTATCGTCGACACAACTATAGACCTATTAGCGTTTATTTAAAGGCAAAATAAATTAAATTTAAGAATAATTTAAAAATTGAAAATTCATTCAATAATAAAATTTTATTTTTGTAAAACAATCTTTAAATTTCAAGTATTTTTAGATTACAGCTTCCTTTTTCAAATGATGTTCAACAATAATTAAACCACATATGTTTTGAAAAACCCTATAAATTAGAATAATATTAGGTATTTATCTACACGTTTTCAGTTAGTCACAATTATTTGTAAATTCAAAATAATACAGGTAATTATTTCTGAACAAGTATAATGAAAAAGAATTAAAAATATTAACTTGGTTATCAACATCATAATTGCTTAAATATGTGATTGATAGCTAACACCCCTTTCCCCAAATAATAATAATAATAATAATAATAATAATAATAATAATAATAATAATAATTTTATAATAATATATGCCTGCATACCTACATAGGTGATGTATGAAAAACAAAATCAATATTAATTAATTTATTATTTCAGGTTATGTGTATTCCTATCCATTTCTATCCGCTCAGTGTGGTATTCAGGTAGAAGATAATTGGGTGAAATATTTATACAAGCAGGTTATCAACATTGACCATCCAACCATGGCTTTCATTGGTATACCATTTCGGCTACCCCATTACCCATTGTTTTGTATTCAGGTACTTTCTAGCGTTGAACGATAATTTAAATAGTATTGCTAGATATCAACATATAAAATTAGACAAGGGTATATTCAAATTTACTCTTTTGACCCTTCTCAAGCTCATTAAAAACGGAGTATTTTAGTAACAATTTCAGTTGATCAAAATCTCAGTAACAAATAAAATTTTTCGTTATAAATAGAAATTAACTTCCACTGTCTACTGGTCGATGTTTTCTAGGTGAGATTTTTCCTTAAATATCTGAAAGGAGGATTAGTGATCAGCAAATCCCAAATGCGACAAGATTTAGATGAATATATGAAAAAGCTCAAAGAAAACGGACAACCCATTCAGAATGCTCATTTCCTTGGACCTAAATCGGCTTGGTATATGGATGATCTTGCTGACACTGCTAAAATTAAAAGAGTTTCTCCAGTAATTCACAAACTGTACGCTCGTTTTAGTTCACTAGGGAAGAAAAAGTTTAAAATGTCTTTTAAGATATTAAATGATGAGGAATTTCAGGAGAGTGAATTGAACTAATGTTGTCTGAATTGACCCTAATAAAATTTGAAATAAAAGAGATTTAAGACTTTTCTTTAATCTACAGAATCGTCAGAAAGTTACATTTTATTGAATTCATCGTTTCAGCAAAAATCGATATTGTAATGGACTCACTTGGTAATATTTAATTTATAACTTGTTCTTACATTTTCCATAAGCACGTAACCCTCTAAACATATGGTGAAAAATCTGGTCGATATCTTTATTAACATCTCTGATAAATAATTTCTAATTTTATTTTAAATGGTTTATGCCGTTCCAGCCGTTTTCGTTTTGTTTGTTTTGACGGAAAAATTATTGAAAAAAATTATGATTTTTGCACATTATCTATTGATCTGTACTGTACTCAATATGAATTTAAAAAATACGCTAAATGAGTCAATTGCCTAACTAAGGGATACAGAGCCATCTTTTCAATCGGTGTCTTACATTTCCGTAGTCTTTTCTTCATAGGTTTCCGAATTTGTTAAATTATTTCATTTTTTCAGCTTTACAGTTGCAATACAGATATTAAGTAGAATTAAAAAGTAGTAATTAAAGTTAAAATGATATTCTGAGATTGCGTATAAAAGAATTTTTTAGAAAATTAGGCACGTCGAATTTGTATCTAAGAACGTTAACTAGTTGACAGTACGCAAGAGTTTATGATCAAAAATGGTTTATTATTTTGGAACAAAACAAATTTGATCAAAGGGATATTATTTTCACTGTTATAAGTTGAAGAAACTTTTCTACAAATACTTTTCTAACAAATAACTAACGAGATAATCAGTTTTTATTCAATAATGAATTGAATATTAAATATACTTGACTGATTATTTTTCGTTATCTGTAATATTACACCGAGTTCCTCTGAAGTTTGATTATTACCTATAACCTTGGGATACTTATTAAATCTCTAAGCTTAATTGTGACGGGGCATTTAAAATAGTATTGACATCTGGACCAAAACCACATGATCTTCGAGCGTAGGCAACGAACATTGCACGACTGGCACTAAACATTAGGAGAGAGATTGAATGGGTTACAACTTACAATGGTAATTAAATAAAATTATTCTTGAAATTGATTAACGTGAACTGTTCACTTTTAACTCTATACATATAATTTTATACCTTTTTTTTTGGAATAGAAAAGAATTTTATGAAAGTAAAGAAAAATAATGAGTTTTAAAAATAGCTATTTAAGCTGCTCCCTTCGTTTAAATGTTCGTTGTTTTATTTTTTTTTTATAAAATTAATAAAAAAGCAAGGAGTAATAAATTATGTACTCAGGTCAGCATCACAGCTTTATTAGTAGTTTTGTCCAACAAAGCGGCTCTTAACATGTGTTATTTTAAGAGCATGTGTCATAGGAAAAGTTAAATAACAAACAATACTTTCTTTGACTAAAAAAATATAAACAATAATATAATTCAGTATATACATGCATATGTATAAAAACGTTTAAAATCAATATTAATAAACATAAAGTAATGAGTATTAAACAGTGCACAACACTGACTCAATTTATGTTTGATTTAATCTTCATACTGATTTACTTATTTATATATTTAAAATACATATCCAATAAGCGATGCCCAATAACAGGATATGTTAAGTCTATAAATAAAATATTAAAAATTAACTATGATAAAATAAAGGAAAAAAATAAAAATAGTACAAACTTACAAATAAAACAAATATAAAGAACAAAATAAAAAGGCAACAAACTATAAAAGACTACATAAGTAAAGCATTTTTTTATATTATTAGCCAAACAACAAAAAAGATCGACATTATTTTCTATCTGACTGTACTTGATTTGATAATTTGATACAATGGTGATACTAGGATGTTACTACGTTCTGTGGGTAGACAAAAACATTATTACTTCTAGCTGACAGTCGTGGTACTTTGATATTAATATTACTTAAAACGCCTGGACAGGCCAAAATGTTAGGTAGAACTTTATACAAAAACATTACTTGAAAAACAGATCTTCTTTTAGCAAGGACATGAATATTGAAACGCTGAAGTAATAAATCATGCGGAAAATCCTCAGGGGAACATGTACCATCCAATAAGTACACAGCTGATTTCATAAACCTGCGCTGTATGTAGTCTTTCCTTATTATGAACCCCATATTCTTGAAAGCAGAAGATGCAATTATGTCTATATGTTTTGTAAAAGATAAGTCAAATGTAACTCCAGAGTCTTTTATGTAATCGGGTCTATGCAATATTATATTATCTAAGTTATAATCAAATACTACAGAATTTTTTATATGTGAATGTAATGATATTACACTTGGAGGCATTTAGCGTTAAATTATTATTTAGACACCACAGACTAATGCCACTAAGCGCATACTGTAACACATAACAGTCGGGAATGGTGTTTATTTCGCAACATAGCTTAAGGTCATCTGCATACATTAAATGGTATGATCTTGTCATTGCAAATGTTTACTGTAGAATACTCCGATCTCCTCAGCCTTTACTATCTGCTGATCCTCATCATCCTGCTCTAAATGTAAGCGTTAATATATACAGCAAACATTCCAATATTTTTCCAGTGCAAAACAATCATTCATTCAACTTTAAACACACAGATTTTCTTGGTTTATATAATGAACTTAGCATTACTGATTGGTCTTTTTCTACTGACTTGTCGGTAAATGATATAATTCAACAGTTTTATAACAAAATAAATTATGCCCTCCATGAATATGTTCCCTTAAAAAGACCTACGAGTAAAATTTATCCGCCCTGGTTTAATAGTCAATTGTTAACTCTCTTGAAGAATAAAAACCATGCTTGGAGTTCATATAAAGAATCTAAACAACTTAATGGTTATATTAACTTTAAAAATATTCGTTCCCAGGTAAAATCTGCCATCAAGATTGCTTATACAAATTATATACTAGAGTCCGAAAATACAATTATGAGCGATTCTAAAAAAATCTGGAACTTTGTAAACTCAAAAAAGGGTTCTACTGGTATATCGTCCTCAATGTTATATAATGGGTCTAATTGCGATAATCCCCAAGACATAGTCAACGCCTTTGCTAGTTACTTTTCTAACTCCTTTATTGATTCCACCAATTTTGATTTAAATTCACAATTCTGTGTTGACGATAATGACATCCCACATATTCCTGAAATTACTGAAGATAAAATTTTAAATTCTATAAAGAAACTGAAAGTAAATATGACAATGGGTCCAGACAACTTGCCGGCCTTTATTATCAAGGATTGTGCTTGCTTATTTTCCAAACCGTTATGCACGATCTTTAATCAAATCCTTAGATCTAACACCTTCCCTGATTTATGGAGACAGTCTCGTGTGTGTCCGGTTTATAAAAAGGGTAACAAGGAGGTGTTGAAAACTACAGACCTATTGCTATTTTATGCAACTTTTCTAAATTATTTGAAATTATTATTCGCGAAGACATTTCTTTTTATGCTAAAAACCTAATTATTCCTGAGCAGCATGGCATCATGCCTGGTAGATCAACAGTGTCCAATCTTGTGTGTGCTACTCAATTTATTGCCGAGACTTTGGATATGAGAGGTCAGGTGGACGTTATATATACAGATTTCACTAAAGCCTTCGACAAATTAGATCATGGTATATTGCTTCGTAAATTACACAATTTTGGTATCAATAATTCTCTTTTACTTATGTTTAAATCTTTTTTATCACATCGTGTTCAGTTTGTGCAATATCGTGGTTACAAATCAAACATATTTAGTCAAACATCAGGCGTTCCTCAAGGGTCAGTACTAGGACAACTATTTTTTATTATTTTTATCAATGATATAGCGCGAAACTTTAACGTAAATGTATGCTGACTATTTGAAAATTTATACTAATGTCAACTCTGTAATAGTACTTTTAATAGTACTAGTAACTTGTAATAGGCTTCAGCACAGCTTGAATTTGCTTACCATTTGGTGTGATAATAATCGGCTCGCCTTAAACGCTTCGAAGTGCAATGTAATGTCTTTCTCCCGTAAAACCAATTCTACTCTATTTAATTACAGCCTACGTGATCTGGATTACTGGTTAGACCTGAGCATATTAAGGACTTAGGGGTCATCTTTGACCCAAAATTAACCTTATCTGCACATATTGCTGAATCTGTCAAAGGTGCTTACAAAAATTTGGGTTTTATTCTCCGAAATGGTAAGGACTTTAAGAATATGTCTACATTACGTACCTTATATACGTGCTTTGTTAGACCCAAGTTGGAGTATGCCTCTGTGATTTGGTCTCCCTATTATAATAGTTACATAACATCATTAGAAAAAGTGCAGAGGAGGTTTCTTAAATCGGCCAGTTTTATCTTAGATGGAGTCTATCCAGCTCTGGGATATCCTCGGGAGTTGTTATTGGATAGGTTTGAAATGCATAGCTTAATTAAGAGGAGGGTTATGTACTCGATAATGTTCTTGTACAAAATTGTCAACCACGATATTGATTGCATTGAGCTTACAACACAAATAAATTACCGTGTTCCTAGAATAAATGCCAGATCAAATAGTTTGTTTAATCTTCCTTCTTCGCGCACTAACATGTTGCGGTGGTCTCCTTTACATCAAATGCTTTTTAATTATCATAATATGGAGAATAGCCTGGACATTTTCAATACTTCTTTAGCACATATTAAAAGAATTTTCTATTCTCACAATTGAGTTATCGGATTTTTAATTTCTTGTTAGTTTTTTATATTACCTACTTATGTTGTTGTTTCTGTTATTGGTAATGATTTTAGATATATTAATTCCCATGTGACTTTACCGTTTTGCTATTTTTTTATTAATTGACTGACCATTGTTTCTGATTAAGGTTTGTACTTTTTGGTAATTTTTATTTATACTTATTTCCCGTTGGGTGAATTAAATTAAATAAATAAATAAATAAATAAATAAATAAATAAATAAATAAATAAATAAATAAATAAATAAATAAATAAATAAATGGTGTACTTGTAGCAGCATGATGTCATTTGCAAAAAGAACAAAGAGTAAGGGTCCAAGTATAGATCCTTA